GCAGTTATTTTCTCATTATATATATGTCTTTGTGTACATGAAATTGAGTAAGATTGCCATTCGATTCAAGCGCTTTGCAGATGGAGCATAAATCTCCTTCGCGCCATTCTTGCCTAACAGAAATGATGATATGGGACTTTGTGAAATGGTTAACTCTACCTCTACCACCAAATGATGCCATACAAAGTATGAGAACTCTGACTATCCCGCCGGAGCATTTTCGGGCTAATTTTTATCCCGGCTGCGCCACTGCAATGTCAGACGGCTTCTTTGAACGACGACGAGCTGACTTGGATCTCAAGATCTCAATTGTTATTAACAAATGCCACCATGGTCGGTAGAAATCCCAGTCCACCTCGCCGACAACGAGCGTGCGCTCCTTGCGCAAGAGTCAAAGCAAAATGTCACTTCCAGGAAGGGAATCTGGAGAAGCATATTTGCGATAGGTACTATATCTCTCTCTTTTAGTCTTTGTCTATGATTTTTCCATAGTAACAGAGTAAGGTGTGAGACTATGAAGAAGGACTGCTCCCCGCAGAATACAAGAAGCCTGAGAAGACCTCGCAGAATTAACCACGTTAACGGGTATGATGATGCGAACTTGTATGAGACGTAAAGCTGATGATCATAAACATTATAACTTTCGAAGAGCAAGAACAAGCCGTTACTACGCGCACAAATAGTTCGCCAGAGTTTACTATTTTAAGCCATAGGAACTGGGCACAGCAGCCAGGTCGAGACAGCGATAACAACCAGGACGAACTGGGATATGACAGGTCTGCCAGGAATCCAACCCAGACAAACACAAATTCAAATAGGGGCATTCCACAGGCTCCACTTGGGCTATCATGGCCACAAGCGGCTCAAGTTCTAAGCCTCTTCCATGAAGAGTTCACCTCCCAGTTCCCCTTCGTGACAGTCGGGAGTCATCACACTGCAGAATCACTGCACAAAGGCAGTCCATTTCTATTTCGGGCTATAATGATTGCCGCTGCGCCATTATCTGAAACCGAGGTGGCCAAGGCGAGACGCAACATACTCGCATACCTGAGCTTCAGGGCAATGGTCGAGGAAGACAAGACCTTGGACATACTACAGGGTGTCCTGGTGATTATTGCTTGGTAGGTTGGTATCATGGTGTTGAAATGCATGCTCATGATTCATAGGGCACACAGGTGTCACATCGACAATAGTCAGGTCACCAATTTGGCCTATCTTGCTCTTGGCTATGCACATAACTTGGGTATTACCCAAGACATGTCATCAGCTCGAACAATGAGCTCACGAGCGTCTGACAAAGAACAAATGACAAACCTGCTGGAGGAAATACGGGCTCTTCTAGGGCTTTATTGCGTTCTCTCAATGTGAGTCTACTAGTAGCTAGTATTTCTTTTCTAACAAAGGCTTCTAGTGTGTCAACAAGACAATCACGACGAAATCCTCTCGACATACCCTACGTGGAGACTTATCTCAAGATTGTCTCACAAGCACAGGCAACCCCATCTGATCATTCAATAGAGTATATCGTTCGGTTCGTTCAGATGGGTGAGAGACTTTCAAGAAGCTTTGGCGAGCCACATAAGCGCACGCTGTTAAGCCCATATGCTGTCCTTCTCGAAGGAACTGGAAGTCGTTTTCGCAATGATCTGAGTCGTCTAGCAGAGTCAGTCCCCATTGGCAATGCTGAAACATGCGGCCAGACGTTTGAGCTTTACCGTTTATATCTCCTAGTGCGTCTCTTTGAGCCAGCAATTATCGTAGCATGCCACCCTGACGAGGGCGTTCCTCAATTCGTCTATCTTTTGACATGCTTACGCAACTGTTTTCACGCAATGCAGTCTTTTTTCGGCATTCTTCTTGACTCGCCCGTTGGCCTGCTATTGCGCCGTTCAATACTTACATACGACCAGATTCTCTATGTCATGTTCCAGGCTGCAAAGCTACTTCTAGTTGAGATCCCTGACTGGGATACTCAGTCTATTCGGCAGACGTTGGGGATCACCAATATACTAGATCAGATGGTATCACGTTATGAAGAAGCCGAACGATTGCGCAGGGCAGCGGTGAAACAATTTGTCTTTTCACCGTTTGGGGAAGAATCACCGAACGAGGTGACTAGTACATCAAGACTGATAAAGGAAATACGCTGGCTAAAATGTTGGCTCGAGTCCAGATTTCAGGGGCTGGGGGGAGAAGTTGAAGATACATATCGAGATGCATTGAAACCGGCTTGGTCTCTAGGGCTCTTGGAAGGGATGCCATGGAAGGTCTAAAATATCCGATTGACTTTTTTCACTGGAGCCACAGTCCTTGACTAACGACTGGGCTCTGAAGACGCACATATGAACTCATTAATGCATAGATGAGAGGCGGTTGAAGTGAACATCGGTGGTTTGCAGGGTATCATGGTTGATATCAGAAAAAGCTTTAGAAAACACCACCATAACTCCTAGAAAATGCCGGTATTCGCCACCCATATCTTACAATCGTGCCAAATGTCCTGTAATACCATGGCCCTATCGTTCATCATCTTCTACATATGCCTAATCATCAGATTCGCCGTCAGTGAAAGTAATCTCAGGTTTGTCAGCATCATAACCTCCAAAAGTATCTTCCTCAGAGATCTCGGACTGTTCATCGCTTGACCATGCAAAGCTATCTCCTTCGGACAGCTCAGGCTCCTCGACATCATCATCGAAGAGCCCCTTAACGAGCAAGTCCCAACAATCAGGATCAGCCATGTCAAGGCCCTCAATTCTGACACGCCATTTATCCAGGATATTGCCCTCTTCATCATATGGCTCTCGTCTCATCCAGCCAGTCCATAAGGCAATGATCTTTGAGGCAGTCATAGCGTCGACCTTGAACCACTCCTGGTGGCAAACGTTGCAAGCACATCCCTTTTCTCGCTTCCTCTGGTTCCAGAGCTGAGCATGTACAATTTTCTCAACCTTGGCGTAGTGCTCGGCCGGAAACTCACCGAGCACTTTCACGTCGTAGCCGCACTGGTATTTCCATCCTCGCATACGCTTACTGACATCTTGAGAAAAGCCTATCTTGATATAGGGATGCGCGTCGTGGTAGCTCTCAGAATAGGTATAGAGGTAGATGTTGCCTCCATTCTTTGTCTCCCCCTCCTTTAAGGAGCGAAGAAGTAGCTTCTTCATCGCTTTATTAGTGTCTATGATCGAGCGGCGACGGGAGAAATCTTCGAACTCATGTACAACTTTGGGGCTCTTTGGCGAAGGTAATTTGGGTAGTAAGAGCTTTGGGGACTGTTTTTTTGGAGTGGAAGGGGACGGCTGGGATCTGCAACGAGAAGCAGGAATAGACATAGGTGTATTGTTCTTGAGCTGAACCTGTTGTTGCGACGAAGTAACAGGAGCGGTTGGTGGTATATCATCTGTTTCTTTCCCGGGTTTGGGAGTATCTTCCTTGTCCTCATTCTTGACATGCACCACTGTAAGGGGCTCAAGGACTTTCTGCCACTTTGACAAATAAGGAGGACCATGTTTCTGATGGACACGCTGACACATAATCAAGCAAGATACTTCTCGGAGTGTGGCCTGAGCAGCAGAAAAGCTTCCTTGATTAACTGCTTTCTCCAAGAGACAAGTGATAAGGGCCGAGTTGGCTTTGCTGATTGGATTCTGGCAACGAGCTTTTTTCGTCGTCGAAGCATGGCATTTTTTCATGTCAGTATCGATGTTGAGAAGCTCGTAGAGGGAGGCAGTAGTAGCTGGCCAAGAAATCTTGGAAGTGGAAGGGGCCATATTGGACAGGTCCAGAAGCTGAGCTTCGAGTTTACTGGGATTGAGCTGCAAGAAGGAAAGGCTGGTGGTGGTTTCTATGCCAACATGACGCTTGCAGCGCAGGGAGGTCTGACTATATATAACTTGATGAGGGTATCTCTAGGCGCCCGTGTCCTTTGGGGGCAGTGTCTACGAGGAGGGCCTCCAATGTTTCTACTACTGCAGGATGTGTCTGCCTCACAGACCGTGGTCGTGAAAACAGGCCGGGGAGGACTTCAGCTGGGTGGAGCCGGGGTAGAAAGACGCTGGATGATATGATGTTCTTGGTGAGAGGAGCTATGATCTATTGTTTGCCTTTATATGGTTCTCTCCGTCTGTGATAGTCTGATTCCCTACCTCACATACGCACACTCACTCAGTAGTAACGATGCCATTCACTCATGACAAGAGCATTACTAACATACTGACCTCTATCTTGGCCCAAATCATTGCTGAGGCTTCAGCGGGCAGTTGCCTCGAGTTTGAGGGATAAAGAGTCGGCGAGTGTGCCATTTTAAGGTATGGATGTTGGCAGATACTAACTATCCAGTACTAGTTTATGCAGTTGGCTCTACATACCCTGGTCTCGAAACCTCTGCGCCCCCTGCGAGTCCTATCATCAAGGGTCACGAGGCATCCGAGGGCGCCTCGAGTCAAATCCAGTCCCAGTTCCGTCTCTAAAATTGGTGTTTCTCAAACGCGCAATCGTATGGGGCGTTCTACCGAAGATATTGGCGACATCGCATCACAGCCACTCGGACGGGCCGTTGCGAGTTGTGGGGATAGCTTCCCAAGCATGGCGTCACTTCTGCGGAAGCGACCTGGATTGCATCATCAACCCTATGAATGAGTTGGAGGGCGTTGATATGGAGATGGGTTGCAAGTTCTCGGGTAGGAATCACACTTCTCTGATTGAACTATAGCGATTCGCAGTTGTACTACCTAGTAGGGAGTAAGTTGAGACGTGATGAGGAGCCAATCAACGAGAATACTAGACTAGGTACCTACTCTGAGGCTACTCGTAACTGTAATCGGTGTAACAACACCCCGGTTCTGTCAACCAAGAATACCTTGTATCTCACGATTGACTCTCTGAAGCACAAAGATAGACCATCAGTTGAATCGGTCGACGAACCTATCACTGCCATTTAAAACTGTATTGGCCGATACTCTCACAATTCCACAATTTTGATTACAAACACTCTCATCATGCCACCGACCGAAAGTCAACCAGATGCCGCTCAGCGCATGTACACTGAACGAGCAACCAACTATGAGGATTCTTGGCACCCCGACTACAGCAAGCGATTCATGGAACTTGTTCCCATTAAACCCGGCGATCGCGTTCTCGACCTCGCATGTGGAACTGGCCTGGAGGCTGTCATTGCAGCAAGGCACGTCGGCGATGACGGGATTGTCGTCGGTGTCGACATAACTGAAGCGATGCTCTCGGAAGCACGCAAGAAACTGGATCGCGACGAAACATTGCATCGTCGTATGAAACTCGTGCGACACAGCGTCACGGACTTGACTGGTTGTCCAAATGTAGACAGGGACAGCTTTGATCTCATTCTATGCTCAAATGCCTTTGTTCTGTTCGAAAACCCAGAGGAAGTTGTCGCTCACTGGCGAGAGTATCTCAAGCCAGGCGGCAGAATTGCCATCGACATCACTCATGAGTATAATCTTCGCTCGGGCCTGCTATTAGAGAAAGTCGCTCGCCGATTGGGCATGCCATTCCCCTCCAACCGAAGTTGGATCAAGTCCAAAGAGTCTTTTAGTCAGATATTGGAAAGTTGTGGGTTTGTGGTTGAAAGGGTTGTGACTTTGGAAAAGATTGTTGGACTTGGCTCGACGTATTTCGGTCTTGACAAGGCAGATGAGCAGTTTGACTACGTTGTCAATGGCCCTCTGACTGCCTCGATTGTAACGGAAGAGTTGAGAGTCAAGGGGAGAGAATATTTCAAAGAAGAGTGGCACAATGCTGCAGTCGATGGTGAGGTTGAGGTATCTGATATTCTCTACGTCTATATCGCCAGGAAGGTTTGATATACGAGTGCTCCTGAATATTCTCAAATCTATCTCATATTTTTGCCTTGACTTTCTGAACCTTTCCCTCAACGGATATCCTTGGATGATCACCAGCGAGCTTCAATCCAGTCACTCTCTCCAGCTCATCAACGGCCTCGAATGCTCGGCCAAGGTTCACCTTGATTGTTTGCAGTCCTTGTCGGCGTGCTTCCTTCAAATTCTCCCCGATATCATCGAGAAACATTACTTCCTCTGCCTTGATACCAACCTCCCAGCTCAAGCTTCGCCCCCGAGCTGAATGAGCATTGGCTTTCGCGAATTCGTTTACTCGGTCGAGAGCCAGCTTATAAATGGCTGGATCTGGCTTTCGGATTCCAACATGGGCGGAAGAAATGAAGACATCAAATATCTGCCGCACAGGCTCGTCAAAGAAATGGTCCTGGTGGAGCTTATGCCCAGGCGGAAAGATGACAGTATTACTCAGAGCTGCGAGAATGAATCGCCCATCCTCCTTCAGCTTTCTCAATGCTGGGAACATCCATGGGTCGGCTTCGTTAGAAACGGTCATCATCTCGTTGAAAAGCCATTCTGCATGGATTGACGGAACGGGAGGGGTTTCCTTTGGGAGACTGGGACTCTTGTCTTGCTCCCGCTTGTAGAAGGTCTCCCATCTGACGGGATCATGAAGGTCTTGACTGAAGCCCCTGAAGAACTCTTCATTCATCTCGATTTCTCCTTTCTCCAAACGATGCCAGAAGCCGTTGGGAGCAGTCCTGGATATTGAATAGTTGACCCACCCTGGAGGGATCCCCAGGCTTAATTCATAGTCGAGGATTGCTTGGAAAGGGGAAACGACCTGGAGGAGTCAGTAATTATGTATGTGGGATAGATGACTACGTGTCTAGAGTCGAGTTGCCCAAAAGATTGAAACGCAAATTGCGATTGGTGGTCAACATCATGTCTCGAATCACTTACACAAACACCCCCTATATCGAACAACAGAACTTTGGGCTTAGACTCTGACATTATATCCGGCTTGACAGATAGAAAGGAAGAGGCTTGTATGAAAGTGATCAAAAGGTGAATACAAGAATCTGAAATATGTAAGAACTTGACCATATAGCCACTACTCAGCGTATTCTTGTGATCTTCTATCCCAACAGCGACTCCACCGAGGCTTGGGGTATCCGAGGAGCCTCGGCAGATCCCCCATCTGGGTTGGCGTCTGGGGAAGATAAGATAAGATAAGATAATTTTGCAGACACGTGACCAGTCTTATCCTCGTCCCCAACCCAGGTCCAAACTGGAACAAATGAAGCTAAGCGATGTGGATTAGGGCTATGAAAATATCCCCCACCATCGAGAATTTACGGCTTATTCCTCTCTCAGCACCAACTTTCCAAACTTCAACACTCAAGTCGTCGTTGAGCAAATACCGTCAAGATGGTAAGTTAAGGCCTATCGCAAGGGAATATCTTCGCCGGAGAATTCCCTTGGTGTTTTTTTCTTTTACGGCAGAAATGCCAATTGCTCTGAAAGAGTCACCGCAAGTTGCTTCGGAAGGAGAAGAGCATCTGAAGCGCAAATTGCTGACTCGGGGATTTTGTGACAGGTTTTCCACAAGTTGGTGAAGAACAGCGCGTACTACAGGTGAGCTTACACTGGGTCTCCATCCACCTTGAGAAATTGCTGACAATCTCGTAGCCGCTACCAGACCAAGTACAAGCGCCGCCAGCAGGGCAAGACCGATTACTACGCCCGAAAGCGCCTCATCACCCAGGCCAAGAACAAGTACAATGCTCCCAAGTACCGCCTGGTCGTCCGCTTCACCAACAAGGACATCATCTGCCAGATCGTGACCTCTGAGATCTCTGGCGACAAGGTCTTCGTCTCTGCCTACTCGCACGAGCTCAAGGCCTACGGTATCGAGCACGGTCTCACCAACTGGGCCGCCGCTTACGCTACCGGTCTCCTCATTGCCCGCCGTGCCCTCAAGAAGCTCGGCCTCGACGAGGACTTCACTGGTGTCGAGGAGGCTGACGGTGAGTTCAAGCTCACTGAGGCCGCCGAGACCGATGATGGCGAGCGCCGCCCCTTCAAGGTCTTCCTCGATGTTGGTCTGAAGCGAACCTCCACTGGTGCCCGTGTCTTCGGTGCCATGAAGGGCGCCTCTGACGGTGGTATCCTTGTTCCCCACTCCGAGAAGCGATTCCCCGGTTACGACATGGAGACCAAGGAGCTCGATGCCGACACCCTCCGAAACTACATCTTCGGTGGCCACGTTGCTGAGTACATGGAGACCCTCGCCGACGACGATGAGGAGCGTTTCCGCAGTCAGTTCCAGAAGTACGTCGATGACGACGTCGAGGCTGAGGGTCTTGAGGACCTCTACACTGAGGCTCACGCCGCCATCCGTGAGGACCCCTTCAAGAAGGCCGAGAGCGACGCTCCCAAGAAGACCAAGGAGGAGTGGAAGGAGATCTCCAAGAAGTACAAGACCAAGAAGCTCACCAAAGAGGAGAAGGAGCAGCGCGTACAGGAGCGTATCCAGGAGCTTCTCCAGCAGGAGTAAAAAGTTGCTTTATCTCATCAGGTCACGGGCATTTGAGGATTGTTAACCTTGGCATTGGGTTTGGAGTTTCGAGGAAAGGAAAGGTCCGTAAACAGGATCACATGAATGAATTACCAAAAAGATACCTTCCAGCCAAATTCCATAGTTGTGGTGAACGGGCATCTCATTACTCCAGCTGTCTAAAGCTTGCCATGCGTAGTCCTCATGTTTTATGTGTGCATGTGTATGCATGTGTGTGCAGAAATGGAGAGGAACCCTTACCCTTGGCGGGCCTAGCGTGGCAGCTGCAGGATTAGTGCGAGTCTTATTTTCAGGGCTGAACCTTGGCCATGAACCTCAGCACCCACGAACGGTCTAATTGAGAGGGCTCTTTCGGTTGTGCGAAATGGTCAGCACTTGACATGACTGTCAGCATTTGGCTTTGTTGTTGCGTATCACTTAGCATCGTTGACAGAAATGATAACCGAAGAAGAAAATGGAACGCATCCGACTTCCGTGTAATAATCTTGTAAGGCTCCGAAGTTAATGTCTGATAGAGTTGATACCGGCACCGTTGGCCGTGTTAGGTTCCTTCCGGATATCTCGGATTTCCTATTTCTATAATATCGCACTTATTGAGGTATACGGAATTTGATTTTGAGGATAACTAGGTAGTAGATAGGTAGGCTGACTGGCTGCTCGATTGCTCGGAAAAGAGTCCATTTCAGAGACGTCTATTCGGAAATGGTCATGGTGTGGGAATGATGGAGTATATAAGACTTTGATAAATACCACTTACTTACTAGAGTTTGTGCCCGTCATGCTGGTCGAGATTCAATAACAGCGGACTGAGCAGTATTTCGAGAGAATCGCAAATTGGGGGCCCGCCTTTCGCTCTCGGAGAAGGCCATGATTCCGCGGCCGAGAGCATCATTCAGACTACCTAGTCTGTGCGATCAGTGACGATTCTGGTCAATGTGGCGCGTGCTGGGTGTGTGAGAGGGGGCCCGACGTAACGTTATAGAAACTCCTGTCGCAGCTGGTGTCGGATCGGATGGACCCGGTGGGTTCCTCAACTGGTGCGAAATGAAGATCGGATATATCCTGCGATGCCAACCCTTTTCTGCTGTACAGCAAATGTCTGGGAAAAGGGAGACTGGCCCACGATGTCCAAAAGGGTTCAGTAAGAAACTTCGGCACAGGCCAGGGCATAAGTCGGCATCTCTAGACATATTCCCCATTTCCCACCTCCCTTGGAAAATGTTGTGCGACGGGAGAGAACTCTAATGACATCGTCTGCCAAGTAATGGAGGGTCCAGCACTGCAGGAGACTCGAACCTCAGAGCATAATGGAACCGACCCGACCTGACTAAGGTACTAAGGTAGTAGTGGAGGTATGATACCTCCTGCAGTCAAATATGACGCCGGATTTTCGGACTCTGGTCAATGGAACAAAGCTCATCATAACCAATCCTGGTAACACCTGCCGCAAGAATTGAGTGGTTGTGAGAGAGGGGTGACGTCTTTTTGTTTGCTGCTTTGCTCATGATGGGCTGAGCCGAAGGTTGCATACAGTGAACAAGGGTTTATCTTGACCTCGTGCAACGACTTATCATGAATCAATGCAGTCATTATTCCACTGAGGATTTACACAGCACGCCCAGTTGGCTGGCGGGCTCAGAGCCCGCTTACATACAGCCACATGGATCCAATCCCTACATCAAATAACCGCGCTCTGCACTGGCGTCCGTTTTGATACTTGATACAACCAGGGTGCGGTCGGCTCGGTACATGCGGGCGGGTATGGGAATGACCTAAAGGCAAGGTAAAAGTACATGTACCGATAAAAAAACAAATTTACCTTGCCCTTACGTACGGCTGTTGAACTCAATGCCTCGTTTACCCGTAGCAAGGCGTGGCGACGAGGCGATGTTCATCTTATTGTATCACTGAGTGAGACTCGAGATTCAGCTCGAGACAGAGTGCGCTATTCAGCGTCACTTGTATCACAGGACCTCCATGTAAGGTAGGTAAGGTTAGTGCCTACCACTATTGTAGGCATTACAAATTTCGTCGGACTGAATTGCAAGCCATCCGTGGACGAAGTAGTCTTGATCACAGGGTTCGGGCTTTTGCCTCTTGAGACTAACTTGGATGAAATGTCGTTTGCCTCACCGACCGCCGACGTCTTGTACATATGTATTGTTTCAAACGACTTATAGGTATGGTTACCTCTTGGATAACTAACCTGCCTCATGCTATTGCGCTGGACTTTCAACTGCTTGTGACAAACCCCTACCCCGCTATTGGATGTTGTCATAATTCTCCCCCGATTTCCACTTCACTTTCTATGGAGATACAACACAACATACTCATCACTTCCAGGTTGCTTCCCATCTCTATCTAAATCTCCTCTTTCATCCTCCGTCGTCATTGTTCCGACTCGTCGAGACCACCCTCGTGCATA